AAAAAATTAAAAAGAGTGGATATATGTATAACAGATTCCTTTTGTTGTACATCTGAAACTAACACAACATTGTAAATCAACTCTACCCCAATAAAAATTATAAAATTAAAAAAAAGAAAACAGTGGATAACACTGTGCTGATGCGCTAGAACTGCAAAATTAATAAATAAATAAAATTATGAGTGCATTTTCTCATTAAAATAAATAAATAAATAGGCCCCACGTACTGCCCCCAATTTACAGATGAGCTTGGTTGAGTTGATTTATCCAAGGTCACACAGCATTAGTGCCAGAGCGGTGCTGTGTCCAGGCTGCCTGGCCCAGACCTGGCCTCTTAGCCTCGTAGTGGGCATCCAACTAGAAGGCAAAATCTCTGGCTCAACTACAAACTGCTCAACTGTGCTTCAGACATGCCCTGTGCATCCAACAGCGCCGCCCCCGGTCCACTCCCTGTAGACGTCCCACCAGCTCCTAAACTCCATGTGTCCAAACGCATCCTCACCCCACATGCTCCTGCCTGTCCCCTGGCACCTGCCATTCTCAGGGCCATCCGCTAGCCTGCGCAGTACCTTTGCGAGAAGCAGAAATAGGCACCCCTCCCTGCAGGTGGATGGAGGCCCACCAGGTTGCAGGTAGAGGTGCAGTCCACAGAACCCAGTGCGGTGTCCCCCCAGCTCCAGCATCTTCCAGCTTGCTCAGGAAAGTACTGAGACTCGTCCTTGAACTTTCTCGCACTCTCTCTCATCAAACTCTCTCTATTCTGCTTCTCCAGGGTGCCAGGGTCTCTAGGGAACAGGGCACCACAAACACTGTCATTCCTTGCTCTCTGGAATAGCGACTCAGGACAGATGCCATTGGGCTCTCAGACCATTTCTGAGAGAAAGGGAGGTGTGTCATCAGGACCGGAGGCTAAGTGCCCCAGAGCCTGGCCCCACCAGTAGTGCACGGAACCTGAGGTTTTCACGGAGTTGGCCTCTAGCCACACAAGGAGGGGACACTGGAGGCCCAGCTGCCCTTGAAGCCTGCAGGGCAAGGTGCTGGCACAACCTATGGGGTCCCCGGGGCCGTGCCATGGGAAGGCCTTTGGTCCCGGTGCTTAAGGGGGAAGAGCCCCCTGAAGGTCAAGTTCAAAGGTTCTGCTGAATCTGCCTGTCCCATTGAGTGTACAGCCACCAGGTGGCAGCCGAGGCTACAGGCAGATGGGGGAGAGCAGCCCTTCCCCGCCAGCTGCAGACCAGATGGAGTAACAGTATTCGCTGACCCCAGGACCTTCAGCCAGAGAGAGCTTGAGAGAGCACGTGCAGGTGTGTGTCTGTGCGTGTGTGAGGCTGAGGGGCACGGACAGACATACAACTGGACAGACGACTGGGGTTTAGTCCATCTTCTGGGTCTCTTCACCATCCCTTGGGCTTCCCTTCCCTGGGCCCAGCCCTGTCCTGGGTGCTGGTGACTCAGAGAGGAAAGTCACACCCTGCCTGCCCGTGAGGAGCTCCCAGAACTGGGGCTGGAGCTGGACACAGACAAGGAAACAGACAACACGGGGCAGTGAGTGTAGAGATGGCTGGTGTGGCTCAGAGGAAGCCCCTAACCCAGGGGTTGGGGACAAGCTTCCCAGAAGAAGTAACTTCTAAGCTGAGCCTAGACAGACTTCTGGCGAGTCTCAGGTGTGGTGATAACACATACATTATCTCTGTGTCCTCCCAGCAGCCCCACAGGGAAGCCATGACAGAACCAATTTTACTGGCAGGTGAAAGGAGCATATGAAAGGCCAGGTGGTCCCACAGGCAGTGAGGAGAAGAGCTGGAATTTGAACCAGAGTCTTCATGATTCTTAAGCTCAAGCTCCTGGCCACTGTGTGTACTGCTAGGGAGGGAGGAGAGCTGAGCTGGGGGCTCCAGGCCCCGGGCCAGATCTGGAGGGGAGGCAGATGCCTCCCACCGGCATCCCAGAGCAAGTTCTGCCGGCTCCAGACATCTGACTCATCTGTGAGGTTGGTCCAAGGGGATACGGTAGGATAAGGAGAAAGTCACACCCACTCCGCACCTCTCCCCACACCCACTCCTTTACCCTGGACTGGGGGAGGAGACTCTGGCCAGCAGTAGTTCCCATCTGATGGCTCCCTGAAACGCAATAAGCAAGCAGTATTCCTGCTCATGTCACTCTGAGCATAAGGGAAGTCATCTTGAAAATCAGCCCAACGCCCTGCCAACTCTGTCTTAACAACAGGTGACACTCAAGCTAGAACTCCGCAGCCTTTTTTCAAAACCATCTCCAGGCTGGAATTTCCTCTTCAAGTCTAACTGAAGTAAGCAGTGTTGCAATCTATCTTCATTTCCTGTGTGGAGCTTTTAGTGCATGAGTTTGTGTGTAACCTATAATGTAACCCTGTGAAATCCACATGTTTTAGGTAGGGGAAGAATAAGAAAGGTGCAAGCCCTGTTCCAGGAAGCTGGAAGAGCCAGAACGCCCTGTGTGGGTAAAAGAGCCTCGGGTTCCTACAGGCAGGGCCTGGGCAGCCTGTGCATTCTGCCCAGAGAGCAGGTGGCGGGCTCAGCTGGAGGTCATGCGACATCACACAGGGCCCAAAGCGTGAGACCAGTGAGGGCACCGGAGTCCGCCCGCCGAGAGGAGGCATCAGGGAAGCGCGGGCACGTCGGGGAGAGCTAGGGAGGGGCCCACAGGGAGAGCCAGCTGGAAAGAGAGGACGGATGCGAAGGGAGAGAGAGGCCGGTGAGCACTGAGTTCAGGTGGAGGGAGGAGAACGGAGAGACGCGACAGATACAAGAAGATGGAGGTAAAAACAGGACGAGAGATACGCTCAGAAAAAGACAGAAGCACGGAGACGGAGATGAGTAAAGGCTGGGAGAGCCGAAGAGGAGACCGGGCCTGAGTGGGGGAGGTCCCGCATGGGAAGAAGGGGTGGGGAGGGAGCAGGAAGGCGTTGAAAGAGCATCCTCCCCCTTGCCTGCCAATCAAGGAGCTCAGAATCCGCTTCCCCCAGGGCGGGGGGCGGAGAGCTTCTCCCACCTCCCCTGCCGCCCCGCCTGAGCCCAGAGGCTCCCCCTCCCAGCGCCGCCCCCTAGGGACTGGCTGTGCAGCCCCGATAGATGGTGGGGGGCCCAGCTGGTGTGTTATCAGCCTTCTCCAGGAGCCAGCCCGAGCCACTCAGCGGCTGCCAGTCTGCGATTAGGCCCCCGGAGGGTCATTAAGCACCGCCCTGGCCCGGGCCCAGCCTCCTTTCCCTCCCTCCTCTGGCCAGGCTGGCAGGTGGGAACTGGCGATAAGGACTGGGGGCTCGGGCAGCTCTGGAGTCGGCAGCTCCATGCCCCCTGCCCCCTGTCAGGGCAGGAACATGGGGTTGGAGGGAAGGTCAGTGCTAGCCCAGCACGGCAAGGACCCCAGGATGGAGTTCCCACCATCCTGGTCCTGCCCGTGGGGAGGGGCTGAGGAGGGTCCTGGAGAGGCCCAGGCAGCCTGCTGGGGATTCTGCCTCCCCGACCCGACCCCAGCTCCCCACTCCCCCACCCTCAGCGCCAGGGCAGGACAGCAGCTGCCACAGCCCCTGCTGGTGAAACCTCACGAGTGTGAGGGGCTAGAGGGAAAACAGAGGGATGGTATCTCGGTCTTCAGGCCCTGGCAGGCCAGTGAGGGGTCAGACTGGAACCCCCCTGGGACAACAGGGGGCAGAGGTGGGAGGGGATGTAGCTTCATGCAAGGAGGATCAGATCCAAGGCAGCCAAAGGCTGGTCAGCTGACTCCGCCCTCTGGTCTAACCAAGGAAGACTTCCTAGAGGAAGAGGAACCCACGCAGGGCCAAGGAAAAGGAATATGCAGTTTCAACTGGCAGAGATGGGTGAAAAGGCATCCAGCCATGTGCACACAAGCCTAGAGTGGGAATCACAAGAGCTCCAGCCACAATTCACCGAGCTGAAGCCCAGAGAGGGGAGGCAAGTCACACAGCAGGGCAAAGACCCAGCCAGCCCTCTGCTCGGGGATCTTCCCTCTGCTGCAGGCTGCAAACTAGACCCTAGTGAGGTGAGAAGGATAATTTGGATTTCAGATGGGTCTCCCCAGGGATATTTGGGTGAAACTCTGGAACAGCAGAGGAGCAGTTCTAATGGAGAAACGAGGGGCTGTGACAGGTTGGGACAGGTGACAGAGGGAGACCGCTGGGACAAGGTGGGCTGCCTCCTGCCTTCCAGCCCCTCTCCTCTGGATCTGGGAGTGCTCCTGGGGAAGCCAGCCTCCAGTTGTCACCCCAGACAGAGAGACAGAGGCTGTTCCCATAAGAATGACAGTCACAGAGGTGAGGGTCCTCCACGGTCAGCCAGCCCAGCTGAGTCAAGCCTCCCGTGTCCTCTCCCTCCTGCTTCATTCCCCCCGGGGGCCCAGTTACTTGGCCCCGGCCCCCCCCCAGGACTGGGAGTCAGTGGCATTAGGGAGGATGATTCTACTCGAGCTCTGTGGTGGGACTGGCCAAATCCTCCACAGAGGGTTAGCAGAGCTCAGAGGGGACAGTAACTCTCCAAAGTCACACAGCAAGTCAGCAGAGGACCGCAGACTGCAATCTGGGCTTCCTGAGTCCTAGCCCAAGACTCTTTCCTGGGGCTTCCTATGCCCAAAGCCCAGCCCAGAAGGGCTACGGGCAGGAGGACAGAGCTGGATGGACGGGAGATGAGTGAGCTCACTTCAGTGCCCGGCAGCATGGAGACAGGGGGTCAGGATGTTGGTGCTGCATGAAGACCCCAGGATCGCCCAGAATTGTGGCTGTGAAAGGCAGGTCAAGAGAGGGGGCACTTGTAGGAGGGTCTCTGCCTGGAGTAAGGGGTGTGCTCCCTGGCCCCAGGGGTTCTCCCAGAGAGGGCTTCCTGGGAAATCCTCCAGAATCACCATGACAGAGGCTTTGGAGATGATTCCAGAAAGCAAGATCAGGTCTCACTGGTAGCCTGAGGAGCTATTTCTGAGCCCTGAGAGCCTCAGACACAGAAGTACAAAACGTCTTTATTTCACAGAAATGAGAGCCATTTCCACGGTTGCAGGGAGGGAGATGTGAGGCGGGATGGGAGGTGCTGAGTTGATTGTCCTTTTCAGAAGGGTCTTCTGAACTGAATTGAGTGGGAGGCCCCCTAGGACCCCAGAGCCACGGCTGAGCCCCAACCTGGACATAGTCTGAGCTCCGAGCTTGGCTGGAGGGTGGGGCAGGTGTGAGAGCTGGAGTCAGCCCCTTACTGCACATTCCTGTACAGAGAAGGAGGGGCCTGGACATCGGGCACAAGGAAGCAGGGGTCACATTGGGGTGCTGCGGACCTTGCCCTCCTCCTCCAGGTTGTTCTCATAGGCATTCTCATGCTCACTGGACCTGAAAGAGGATGACAGGGGTCATTGCTCCTTCTGTCCCATCCCCTTCTCCCTGACCCATCCTGCATTTGTGAGGGCAGTGTCTTCCAGAATAAATGTCTGAGCCCCAGAAGGGGGTTCCCCTGACCACATCTGGTCTTCTGCACCTGAGACCTGAGGCCTCTCACCACCACCCCTGAACCCCTTCTCTCTCTTCCACCTAGCCCTTCCCCCACTGGGCCCCCATTGAACCCACCTCCCCACTGAGCTCCCTCCCCTACAGATCCTCCCCACACACACTGAGTCCCCCAACTCATCCCTTCAGAGTCCCCTTCCCGCGCTGAGCCTCTTTGCCCCACTGCACCCCTATGAGTCCCAATCCACCCCCTGAGGCCCTCCCCCCACCAAGTCCCCATCCCCTTACGGAACCCTCTTCCCAAACTGAGGCTGCATGTCCCCATGGAGCCCTGCAGTGCTCTCAAAGCCCCCATCGCTCACCATCTCCCCACACGGAACCCCCTCTCTTCACTGAGCCCTTCCCCATATGAGCCCCCATCCTCTGAGCCCTCTCCCCTTCAGAAGCACCTGGTCCTGAGGTCCCTAGGGGACCCTGGAGCACAGGGTGGCCAGCCCTATACTAGCACCTCACCTGAAACTGGCCTCAATCGAGGAGTACTTGCCGTCCGTTCCTACCAGGATCCCATCTGCTTTGTTTCCGATGGTCATGACCATGTTCACAGGCTCCCTGGGGAAAGAGCTCATCATCAGGGCTCTCTGGGTCCCCTCTCCCTCGGTCCCCCCTCCTCCCTCTAGTCCAGTCAGGCCCTGTTCTATAGGCCCTAAGGCAGAAGCTCCTCTCTCCAGCAGGGCCCTGTCAACAGCCTGATTCTGGCCGTGGGGCCGCACACATTTCTCCCTGCACCACTGTGGGGCCCTCAGGTCCCAGCCTGAGATCTACTAAAGATGTACCCCAGGCCTTGCACCGGCCACCTCCTGGCCTCCCTCTGCCGTTTTCCTCTGGCCTCAGCTCAGCTCCAGGGCAGACCCAGCAGGACTCAGTGTCTGCCCTAGATTTCCGCAAGGTTCTCCTAGGCGGTAGGAGCGGTCACTGACGGCAGAGCTGGGGCCAGTGGAGAAAAGAAATATTCCCGACAAAAATCTCCTCGCCTCTTACTCAAGTGTGTCCTCTGTCCCCAGCTCCCCAGACACCACTCTTATGAGGGTTACAGGGACCCTAACCACTGCTCATCTTTCCTCGGACATCCCGTGGGCACCTCAGACTTCATATGTCCCAAACTGCCCCAGATCTGCCTCTTGTGGTCTGTGTCTCGGTGGGTGGTCCCATCAGAAGCCGGGATGTTATCCCTGTCCTTCCTCCCTCCTGTCCTCAGTGTCCCCACCCCTCCTAGAAAGCTCTGAGACCTGGACTCTCTCTCCATCCCCTCTGCTGCCTCCACAGCTCAGACTCTCTCCTGACCTCACCCTCATTGCTCACCTCGCCTGCGGACTGGCCCAAAGCATCCGCCACGGGGCAGCCAGTGATTCTGTTCCGGCCACGTCTCATCCCAAGACTGGCTTACAAACTTGCACTGGATTCCTACTGCACTAAGGATAAAGCCCAAAGTTCGGGGCTTTGGTGTCCAAGGGTCTGCTTGGCCTGGCCCCTGCCGACGTCAGCAGTCTATCTCGGGCCTCTCCATCCATGAGCTGCTTCTGTTCCCTCAGTGGGTCCTACAGTGCTGCTGGTACCCAGGCACCAGGTCGCCGGTGTGAGAGCTGGGGGCAGATGCATCCTTGCCCCAGAGTCAGCAGGTGCGGAGTGAGCTGGATTTCAGCCCAACCCCTTCTACCTTTGTGCTCTGCTCCGAACTCAGGGCCCCCAGTGACTCTTCCCTCAATGGCAGTGCTCTCCTACCGCACTTAGCTCCTGCCTGGGCTTCAGGATAAACATACAGTAGGAAGACTTCTCTGACCCCCCGGCTCAGGCCCACACTGCATTTTGCCTGCTCCTTTAGCGTCAGCACTCACACTGCTATCACCCCTTCCATGTTTGCCTTCCCTTCTGGTCTGGGAGTCTGTGAGCACAAGAGTAGTGTCCATCCCATTGCCCCCCTGTAGCCCCTGCATGTGACAGAGCAGCAGACCCTGAAGAAGGGCAGAACATTCCTGTCCAGGGGTTTTCACAGCGTCCATCACAGACGGGCCACTGTCCCAACTCTACAGATAGAAACACTGAGACTCCAAGAAGAGAAGACGGCTCCCCGAAGCGCAGCAAGTGCACTCGCAGGGCTCCAGCAAGCCTCAGCTCTGGTCCCTGAGACCTGGGGCCTCAGTGCCCCTTCCACACAGTGAGAGGAATGGGCTCAGGGTTTCTGCGGCCCTTCTCACTGCTACCAGAGCAGTGGCCGTGGTCCTGGGACCTCCCGGCTTGCGCCGGCGCAGCTCCCAGGGCCCCCGCACAGCACTCACTGTTCTTCCTGGCACCAGAAGTGGTTCACGGCAAAGGCGATTGCAACGAGGACCAGGAACACAGCCACGGCAATAAGGCCCTGCATCCAGGGCTGCAGGTTCCCCAGGCCTGGAAAGGGAGGAGTGGGCGGCGGGTGCTGCAGCGGGCTGGGCACAGTGGGGCTGCCAGTGCAGGTGGGGCCTCACGCCCCCCGGGGCTGGCTAGAGGCTACCAGCCTGCTGCCGGGACTAGTGGAGACCTTCTGGGGAACGAGGACCCATCTGACCCCTGGGCTTATAAAAGGGACCGTGGTTTGGAGGAAGACAGAATTGGGAAGAAGGAAAGGAGCTGAGGAGGGAACAAGCCTGAGAGAGCAGCATCTGAGGTCCAGGCAGCCCAGAGCGTCCCCTCACCCCCCACCCCTCCCCCACTGCAGTGGGTCAGTGCAGGGCCCCCGGGGAGTGCCTAGGCCCCAGGGACCAAAGGGCAGCCCCCTGAACAGACGGCCTTGGCCTTTCCAGTGAGGGTGGCTCCCCTCCTCCCCGGCTCCCAGGCTGAGGCAGCCCAGAACTAATAGGACTAGGCTGGCATCTGGAAGATCCTGTTTTGTAACAGGGGTTTCTGTGGGGTTGGGTAGGCGTGGGAGTGCAGGCGGATGGGGCTGCTTGGCTCGGGGTGCCAGGAGTGCCCAGAGAAAGGGGTGGGACAGAACGTCTTTGGAAAGTCAAGACAGAGGGACAAGCTCTCCTCTGGGTCTTGGGGGCCGGGAGGGGAGCTTCAAGCCTGAGCCCCTTTTGTCTTCTCTGGCTCAGCGCCCCGGGGAATGACTGGGCCAGAGACCAATTTGAGGCCCCTTCCAGGCACCTTCTCTGCCTTTTGCCCCTTGCCCCTTGACACCACCTCTAACCCTCAGGTTTCCCAGAAGTCTCTGCCCTCAGCCACTGGCAGCCCCAAAGGGCTCTCCTCTCCCCGGACATCACTGTGCTCTGTGAGCCCGAGGGGGCCCGGCCCCACAGAGGACAGACACACAGTAGCAGTTAGAGGTCTCAGGAGGGGAGAGAGGCCCACAGGAGACTTTTGAAGAATCCTGCCTCCAGGCCAAAACACCTGCCTCCCTAGTGCCATCCTGTATCTTGAGGGGCCCAGGCTGAACATCAAAAATCTCATTCTGCCTCACTCCTGCTCAGAAGTCCTTCCTTGAGTCTACCCGAAAGCTCTCCTGCTGCAGGGAGGCCCTGCCTCTTCTCCAAGCGCTCTCTGAGCCTGGCAGGTGTTGGGAAGGAGGCAGGGCTCTGGGAACTCTGTCCTGCGGCCAGCTCAGCCCTTGCTTATCTCCTTGGATAACAAAAGATACACGCAGTATGCTTACTCTAAGTTCCATACTTGCCAAAAAGCTGTATTTTGGACTCATTGTTTCCCCAAAAAACAATGGTTCAGACCCATTGTCTCCTCAGGTCAGTGGTTACTCAAGGACTGGGAGTTAGGGCTTAAGCCCTGGGAGGCTTGTCCTTGCTTCTTCCAGACCCTGCAGCCAATTCCTTCCAGACACACCAGGGACACTGCTCCTCCTTCCAGGTGGCTCTGGGATGAACATATAGCATAAGGGGCAGAGCCTGGGGCAGGAGAGAGGTGAACTGAGCCCTGTCCCTTCTTGCTCTGCTGTGTGACCCACACAAGTTACTCCACCCCTTTGATCTTCGATTCCCACAGAGGGCTTCTAAGACCTGAGAGACAGAGTTGAAGCAGACACGCGTGAGAGCTCAGGGCATCTGCAAAGGAGGGGTGCATTGGGAGCATCTCTGCCAACCTGCCCTGGACCCAAATCCCACCGGCAGACTCCCCACAGCTCAGGGCTGACACCGGATGGTGGGTGTGGTGCTTTACCAATGTGAAGCCCTTCCCCACCCCTTAGTGGTAGCTGCCCTGGGAGGTGGGTGGGGCAGGTTTATTGTCCTCATTTTATGGATGAGAAAACTGAGTCTCAGAGAGGGACAGTGATTTGCTCAAGGCCACACAGCAAGACAGAGGCAGAGCTGGACAAAGAGCTCAGGCACATGGTGGGGGCCACATTGGGACACTTGTCTTCTGGGTAGGAAGCGGAAACAACTTAGGCCAAAGCCATGGGCAAATGCCTGACAGCACTGCCCACCCCTGAAACAATCCTGCCGTTGAGAGTGGCTCACACACTATTCCCACCCCCCTTATAGCCCCCAACGCTCTGTCCTCAGCAACCAGCCACCTCTAGGGAATTCCTGCTCCTGGAACGTGGGTCTCAACTCCCCTCCCCAACCCTAGACCCTAGATCCAATATTTCCCCTGCTGCCCCCATTTCTCACTTGTGGGAAACAAGTCACAGACAGAAGCCTGTGTCTGCCTTTGGAGGTTCCTCTGGCTAAGCCCATCCCTGCTCCCCCTCCAAAGCGTAGGTGCCAAGGGTGATGAGACGGGCCAGAAGGCCACCCCTTCCACCCCGGGGCTCCCAGCACCCAGGCCGGCCCTCTCCGTACTGCAGCCCCTATCCCCACCCCAGGCTGGCCCAGGCCTGTGCTACCTTGCTGACCGCTGGCGGGTGGCACTGCCGTGAGCAGGCCCAGGATGACCAGGCCGAGGGCTGACATGGCTGCAGGCAGCTCCCGGGCCTTCTCTCCGCCGCTGGAATCTGGACTCCTGGAGCTGCCCTGGGGCCTGTCGGTGTCTGCTGAGATCAGCCTGGTCTCCGTCTGACCCTGGAGGAGAGGTGCTAGTAAGGAAGGAGGAGAGGGAGGACTGAGGCGGGAAGGTGGAGTGAACCTGCCCTCCCTCCCATGGTAATGTGCCAGGCCTGGCCTCCCCTGGCTGGAGCCCAGCCCACTCAGGCTGGCTTTCGAGGTCATCTTCTAGAGACCATGGGTCTGAGGTCCTGGGAGATGTGGGGAGAATCGGGGCCTCACCTCCAGGCCTCAGGCCTCCTGGAGTCTTGCGTCAGCTCCCCTTCCCGGCAGCGGGGCTGGGCTCTGGGGATAGAGTGACACATTCTTCTCCTGCCTTGAACGAGCCCAGTGGGCGGGGCCTCTGGGAAGGCTGAAGGTGGGATTAACTAATTTGCTGGCTGGCTCGGGGACACGGGGAAAATCCCGGAGGCTAGGGAAAGGTCAAAGCTCCCCCTCCCCGAGAGCCTGGCCTATTTCCTGTTCTTCCCCTCACCTGTCCCCACTCAGCCAAGCCAGACCCCGGGACCCCAGTCCTGGGGCACAGCCCTGGCTTCTGTCCCTGCACTCCCTGCCCAGCTCAGCAACTCTCTAAATGCAGCCTCTCCCATGGGGATCACAACAGAGGGCCTGAGGGTCCCAGTCCCAGCCTTCCCCACCCAGCCCAGTTGACCTGACCCAGTTCAGCTCCTCCTCCTGGCCCCAGAGGTGGTCCCTGGAAGCTGGGACAGGATCTGGGCTTGGTCAGAGGCCTCTGCACACACCTTCTGATCCCTCTCCACCCATCACAGGGAGAGAAGTAAGTGAACACAGCCCTGCTCTAGAGGACAAAAGAAGGACACCCCAGGTGGAAGGTCCAAGTCTGGGGCCCTGAACCCCTGGGCCCTCAACTTCTAAGATCCCATGGAGCCCATGAGACCCTCCAGCTCAGGAACTGAGAATGACCCACGTACCTGTCGAGGCCCCGGGCCCAAGGGCCATACTGGGTTTCCTTTCTCCCCACCCCCTCCCCTCCCCCAGGAGTACAGGAAGCCAGGGATGCTGGAGTTTGGCTCCACAGATGTCAAGAAAGAAGGAGGCAGAAGACTGGGGCAAAGTCTCAGAGATGGAGGGTCCCCAGAAGCCAGGGCGTGAGCTGGAAGCCCCTCCACAGCGTCCCTGCCCAGAAGCCACCAGACGGCTGCTCACAAGACCTCCTGGGCAGCCCTTTCTACTGCCAGTGGTAGCACCCAGACATCATGCCTCGTCCCTGCTTCCTGTGTGTGTATGTGTGTGCCCACTACCATGGGTGGTACACACAGCTATGCAATGACGGCGTCTCAAGATGACGTAAGGGAACGTGGCTTGGAGGTGAGTGATGCCTCCTATACCTAGACAGTTGTTGTCTGTCCTACCCCAACTTGGTGTCTTCAGAGTGTTACGGCACAACGTTTGGCTAGAGTAGGCACCCTGTGTGTTAATGAACAGCCAGGGAATCACTGATTAGAATGCAGGGAACTGGGTTGAACGTAACAAACAACCACTGACGCCTTCTTCTAAGCAGGGGAGTCACAGGGTCAGACTTGCATTCAAGAAAACACCTCTGGACAGCGTGGAGAATGAAAGGGGAGCACAAAGACCGGAGAAAGGGAGGTCATGGGGAAGCTGCTGTAACAGCTGGAGACGCGGGCTGCAGCAGGGCAGGGCAGAGGGGATGGGCTTGAGCCATATTTAGGAGGATTAAATGGACGGGACATGGTCACTAGAACACTGACGAGCTGGGTGTGGGGAGTGAGGGATGGAGGGAGCTGAGGGTCATTCCCAGTTTCAGGCTTGGTGGTGCCTCCGAAGGGGCCAGACCAAGTTTCAGGAGGTAGGGCGGGATGATGAGCTACAGGTTTAGATGTACTGTGCTTGTGGATGCTCCAGAGGGAAGCACCAAGAAGGCAGTGGGATCCCTGGGTCTGGAGTAGAGAGGCGCATTTTGGGAGCCGCCTTCGGCATGGCGTGTTCGTAGCTGAGGCACGGGAGCACGTGGTCTCCGCGGGGTGTGTCTGTGTGGGTGTGTGCACGCGCATGCAGCAAGGAGAGAGCCAGGGCAAGGAGGGAAGCAGTGAGAGACCCAGACGCAGTCGAACGCATAGGGTCTTTCAGAGGAAGAGGAGTCAGGGTGTAGCAGGAGGGGAAACTCCAAAAGAGTGGATGTCCCAGAAAGTGTGGAAGGTGAGCTCCAAGAAGAGATGACAGGCAGGGACTCCCATCCAGCCAGTGGCCCCCCAGAGCAGCCCAGCCTCTCCCATCAGTCCCCAAGTCCCAGCGCCTGCCTCTCTCATCCAAGCACCCCCCTTCCCTATAGAACCCAGGGAAGGACAAGAACTCCCTGGGCCATGCTTGGGGACCCTGCGGGAGGGGGGTGAGCAGGAAGGACATCAGGTGACCAAGAGGAGGAAAACACACCTCCCAGGTCAAAGTCCCAAGCTTTAGAGCAAAACAAGTTGTTCCGGAAAAGGGGGGTGTGGGTGGACACTTGGCTTTGAGGCTGGTCCTTTCTCTCTAGGTGTCCTCATCCAGCTGAGGGGAGGGGGGGTCATCTCCCCAGCTATATGGACACAGCCCTGGGTCCCCATGGTAACAAGTTGGAGCCCCTGCTGGTCTGGCTTGGGTCCAAGATCTGGACTCAGGCCTCAGCAGCCCCAGAGGGCTGGACCCCGTGTCCTCATCTCTGAGCCACTGTTCCATCAACGCTCAGTTCCTCCCTCCTGTTCCCAGCCCAGCTCTGCCACCCCGTGTCATCAGGCCCCCTTATGCCCTCCACACAGCTAGGTCTTGTGTGATTACCCTTCAGAAAAGCCAAAGTGGGCCTCACTGCTTCTAGGTAGGGGTCCCCTTTCTCCTCACCCCATCCAGCCTGCCATTCCACTTGTTGCCAGCAGGTGGCAGAGTCTAGCCCCGATCCCAGACTAGTTGGGGAGGGGATAGAGGGGAGCCAGTTTGCAGCGGAAGGTTCTGCAACTTCCTCTCTCCAGCGCCCCACTTCCGACCCCTTCCAGGGGTAGTTTGAAGGAAGGGAGGGTGGACGCTGACAACTAAACAGTCAGTGATGCTGTGAACATCGCACCTGGCGTGCTCAGGGCTATGCTCTAGGGAAGCACTACAGCTAAATCGTTAGGGATGGCGTCCTGGCGGGGCTGATGCTAGGAAAAGTTTAGCTGAATTGTTGGAACTAGCAGAGAGACAGCTTGGGGGAAGGCATCCAGGCAGAGAGCTCAGCCTGAGGAAAAGCACGGAGGCACGTTCTCGTTGGGGCTTAGAGCACAGAAGTAAAATGTTTTTAATTCATTCTTATATTTCATCTTGCTAATGTCTTTGCTGCAAGCCCAAGAGCTCCTGGAGACCTTGTTTTATTTATTCAAACAGATCCTACTTAAACCCCTTCAGGGCTGCCAGCTACTCTTCAGATGATACGCAGTCTTCTTAGCATCGGCTTGAAGACCCCACCATCTGCCCTTACCCTCCTCTCCAGCTTCATCTGGCCCCAGGGCCTTTGTCACTTCCTAACAGCAGCCAAGCTCTCTCCTGCATCAGGGCCTCCTCCACAATTGCTCTTCCCCTCTGTTTGCCTGGCGGATTCTAACCACTCCTCCAAGTCTTGCATTAGGTGTCACTTTCTCCAAAGGGCTTTCTTTGATCTCCCTTCTCCCCCATCTGAAGTCACTCCTTCTATGAGTCCCCTGCTCATCTCTTCACAGCCGTTATCACAAATTGCAATGACATGTTGATATGTGTGTTTACTCATTTAGTCTCTGTCTCCCTGGAGAGAAGGCATCGTGTCCATTTCAGCCCCAGCACACTAGTACTGAGCACACACGCAACAAATGTAAGTTTCAGTATATCCAGCGCCTACCTCTGGCCTGGCAGAGAGCAGCTCAGAGAATGCTTGTTGAATGAGTAAGGTATTTTAGCTCTAGTCAGGACCTTATCTTTCTCTGTCCTCTAGCTGTGGGCACAGAGCATGGATCTGCTTCATCTCTGGGTGAGAGGAGACAGGGTCACGGCTGTTCAGAGAAGCTGGACCTGGCCAGCCCGGGATGAGCATGAGTTCCCATCCCTAGAGGTGCACAAGCCAAGGCTGGGAAGCAGGTCCCCCAGTGGGGGCAACTACAGAAGGGGTTCTGGCCCTTCCATCTCTGGAAGCCTGTGATTCTGTGACTCTGTTAAAAGACTATGGTAGATTTTTGTATTTTAATCAGGTTCTGAGGAAGTGGGCTGGTTAGGGGTGAGTCTCTCTCCTCTCAGACTCAGCATTTGGTTCCCCCAGCTCACTTCACTTAGCACTCCCTCCACAAGAGCCCATGGGCAGTACTCGATTCACGAACTTGCATGGGAAAAACATTACATCTGTATCTCACTAACCTCTAACTGAAATTCACCATATTCTGCCATTGGGAATGAAGGCATCAAACCACAGTCCCTCTGCGACCTTCTCCTGTCACCATACAATTGTTGCAGATATCTGGATGGATTATTTCTGCTCATCAGTATGGAAATATAACAGTCATTGGGACTAGACTTCCACTAGGTCTTATCATAAAGTACATATAGTTACTATATTGCAAACTTGTATTTTTAATGTTTTAATAACTGTATTTCAATGTAATTGGTTTCCTGGCAATGCCACGCATTTTATTTTATGCATTTTAGAACATTACTGGGCTTTCCTGGTGGCTCAGTGGTTAAGAATCCACCTGCCAGGGACTTCCGTGGTGGCACAGTGGTTAAGACTCCGCCTGCCAATGCTGGGGATACAGGTTCGAGCCCTGGTCCGGGAGGATCCCACATGCCACGGAGCAACTAGGCTCGTGCACCACAACTACTGAGCCTGAGTGCCACAACTACTGAGCCCACATGCTTGGAGCCCGTGCTGCACAACAAGAGAGGCCACCACAGTGAGAGGCCCACGCACCACAACGAGGAGTGGCCCCTGCTCGCCACAGCTAGTGAAAGCCCGCGTACAGCAACAAAGACCCAACGCAACCAAAATTAAATAAATAAATTTATTTAAAAAAAAAGAATCCGCCTGCCAATGCAGGGGACACGGGTTCGAGCCCTGATCCAGGAAGATCCCACATGCTGCGGAGCAACTAAGCCCGTGCATCACAACTACTGAACCTGCGCTCTAGAGCCTGCGAGCCACAACTACTGAAGCCCACATGCCACAACTACTGAAGCCCGTGCACCTAGAGCCCATGCTCCA